GGTCGGCAATGAGACCTGGCGTTGCTTAAGGTGAAGTTTTGCTGTGTCTCAGAAGTTTCAATAGTTTTGGCCTCAACTTGCTATAAAACTCTAGTCAGCCTTTTTTTGCGATTTTCTGCAGGGATCTATGAAGCAGTAAGGAGAGGCATCTCTGCCCAGAACCAAGTCATCACCGGGCCAGGTGTTGGTAGTGGAAAATTATTCGATCCCGGAATCGTGCACTTTGGAGGCAAAGTGCCGCAGTTGCCACAGGTCTTTGAGCAAGACATGGCAACATCCGCCTTCACCCATAGACATGACGCTCCGGAGGTAGTGAGGCTTCAACGGAAGGTCTTTCATGAAAAGGTGACGACGAGCAAGGAAGTGAGATTGCAGTGGCTGCCATATGAAGAACTTGACCGACTTATCGAAGCCTTGCCCCATTTTCAGGTGCAGAACAAGCATTTGGGAGCATGAACCCTGATGATTGGTCCAAACTGCTAGAGGATGAAAGGTTAGCAACAAACGAATGCGTTTGACTTTCGATTTCAAGTCTGGGATTTATTCAATGTAAACAGGTCACAAGGCAACAGAAGACATCCCGAGGTGTGCTAGGCAAGGTAGAAAGAGTTAAATGGAAAGGGGGTACACCTACCCCTCTACATGCATAGATTACAACAATGGCACGCGAACCTATTTGCAAATAATTGCGACGCTAGCGCAACGAATGCAGATGACTCCACTGCAGATATAATTCACCACTGAACGAACAGCTGTAGCACATTCGTGAAAACCCCAGGAGCTCCGGGTCTTCCGGCTGAACCATTTCCAAGCCACTATGGCGCAGCTCGAAGCCTTGGGCCAGGCGCCGGGTCGGACGACTCCATCGCTCGAGGCGTCGCTGGGACGAGCCGCTGAGGTACTCGCCGCGAAGGAGCTGCAAACGCTGGAGATCGGGCACTGCAAAGAATTCTACGGATTCAATTGTGGGTTGAGAGGTTTGGGCAAGGCCATGCAGTGAAGGGTTCACGTCGTCGCTTTCCAGTGCGCGTTTTGGCGCTTGCAGGCGGTGGCCGAGATCGTGAAGGTCACAAAAAGTATCAAGGTCCTCATCCTTCCTGATAATAACATTCAAAACCATGAAGCGCAGGCACAATTCTGGGTTCCACAGGGCCGGTCGCCAACCTTTCCCACCCCTGTCCACGTGCGATTCATTTGAATTATTCGGGGATGAGAGATGTGTTTGTCACGAAAGTATTGAAGATTTTGTCGTATTCTTTGTGGTCCCTGCTCCCGTCTCTTTATAGGACGCTTGCAGCATTCGCGACATGTTCAACATGTCTGCAAAGTAGAGTCCCGGTCTCCACGCACAATGTTGGACAAGATTTAGTGAGGCTTCCACTTCCACACAGCACCGTCGTGTCACAAGAACATCTCAACAAGCATGTCCCGAACTTCTCAGCAATTGCCCTTAGGCAAAGCTCTTTTTCAATATACAGCGTTCTCACACACTCCCCCCTCCTACCTTTCGTCCACCCGCTCCTCTCAAGTTTCCTGCAGATGTGGGCGAGAATGAGCGATGTTTTGGTGGAAGACACTGGTGTAATTTTGTGCGTGACAGGGCTGAGGATATGGATTGGTGAAAATTGTTTGACCACATGTGTCTTTTTTCTAAAGGTCACCTTCCATTGAGCCAGGCGATTGCCGCCAGCCTCGAAGT